AAGTTAAGAAAGAAGTCTCGTCACTCGGCGTACTTAGTTACTTCGACCCGAACGCAGAAACCGTCATCGAAACTGACGCTTCACTGAAGGGATTAGGCGCTGTGTTACTACAAGACGGAAAGCCTGTATGCTATGCTTCTAAAGCCCTCACCGAAACTGAACAGCAATACAGCAACATTGAACGCGAAGCACTCGGCGTTGTTTGGGGACTTGAAAGGTTCCACTACTTCATCTACGGCAAATCCTGCACAATTCACACAGACCACAAGCCACTTGAAGCAATCTTCAAGAAGAAACTCAGCAACTGCCCTGCAAGATTACAGAGGTTTGTACTACGAGCACTGAAGTATGACGTTACCATAAAATATGTCAAAGGAGCTGAAGTACCAATTGCCGATGCCCTCTCGAGGGTATCACCACAACCAGCCCCGCTCAACGACGAATTCCCACAGCTGGACATCCACCAGATCACAAAGAACCTTCCAGCGTCACCGATAAAGCTTCAACAGATTCGCAACGAAATAGCCAGCGACCCAACGTTAAGCAAACTCCGCAACGTAATACATGAAGGATGGCCCGCAACCAGAGAGAAATGCCCTCAAGTACTCCATGACTACTGGAACTTCCGCGAGGAACTCACCATTGAGGACGGCCTCATCCTGAAGCAAGAGCGGATAGTTATGCCTACCACACTCAGGCATGATACTCTCAACACCATCCACCAAGGACATCTCGGACAGGAAAAGTGCCTTTTGCGAGCCAGATCAGCAGTATTTTGGCCAGGCATCACCAGAGATGTCACCAACTTAGTCCAAGACTGTGCAACTTGCCAAGCATACCAAAGGAAGCAACAGAAACAACCAATTCTACAGCCTGAACCACCCTCCTACCCATGGCAGATGCTCAGCTCAGACTTATTCGAATTCAGAGGAAACCAGTACCTCCTGATATCCGACAAGTACAGCAAGTTTCCAATTGTCAGGAAGCTTACCAACACTACGTCCCGTGCTATCATCAACCACCTGAAAAGCATTTTCGCCGAACATGGGATACCCGAATGTCTTACTACAGACAATGGCCCTCAGTACGCATCACAGGAATTCTGCGACTTCATGGAAACCTATGGAGTAGAACATGTCACCAGTTCACCAATGTACCCTCAATCCAACGGCTCTGCGGAACGCATGGTTCAGACAGTAGAGAATATCCTCAAGAAATGTGACAACGAAGGAGAAGATCCTTATCTTGGACTGCTACCATACCGTACGACACCTATCAGCAGCAACCTAAAATCACCAGCTGAACTACTAAACAACCGCAAGCTAAGGACAACTCTACCAATGCCCAAGCGTGTAAGTGTCACCGACAGCACCAGCAAGACTAAGGAAGAGCTGTATCAGCGACAAAAGTTACAAGCATTCTACTACGACAAAGCTGCTGGACCGATATTACAACCATTCCGACCAGCTCAGCCCATCAACATCTATGACCACCACACCACGAGATGGGAACAAGGACCAGTCGTCAGGCCTGCGAAAGAACCAAGATCCTACATTGTTAAGAATGATCGAACCGAAGGCATCTACCGTCGCACTCGATCACAGCTGAAGCTCAGACCCGAGGTAAAGGACAACAGTATCAAAGACCCACCATCATCTGATCCTGAGAAAGCAGCATCGCAAGACAGCTCAACTACGCCACCTCAGGACGGCCAAACCTATACGACAAGATCTGGACGTACCTCAAAGCCCCCTAACAGACTAGATTTTTAGATACCTGAACATTTTCAACATTATGACATGAACATTGGCAATAGGCATGAACATGATCATCAGTTATTAATATCATTATACATAATCGTTATAGGTTGTTTTGTTAAAGAGAGGGGGATGTAACAGTATCTGACTGTGCGATTACATAATGGGACAATTTCTGGTCACGCGTTGTTTACATAACATGAATTGTCACGTGCAGTATTTTTCCCGCCGTTTTGCTATATGTATTACTTTGGTCCTAAATAAATGGTTGAGTTAAACAACACAACACTTTACACCAATCAGATTGCCGCATTTTTCATGTATCACAAACCCATCATATTGTTGTGGTGTTGACCTTTTCATGCGGTATTGAAGAGAAAAGCAACTCGCATTGCGGTGTTGTGGTGATCTCAAGTCTTACAGTTTACGATAAATGTAATTCCAAACCGACGGTTCTCGGTGAAGAAAACCATTTCCGAGTTGCAGTTTATTCTTTAACGTTTTGAATAGCTAGATTTTGATAGACGGGTGGTTAACCAGCCTCCAGAGCGAGCGTAATTTTGGAGAGCGGGTGCTCAGTATCTTTCAGCGAAAACTGGCCACCATCTCAGATTTTAATGGCAGCCGAAGACTGGGGTGAGAAAGCATTTTCGATTAAGGGTGCAAGTGACGGTCAAAAATAAGGAGAGGGGCTGGGTGGGGAAGTGAGTATTACGCCTGCCCGAACTCATCTTTGTTTTGCAATTTGCTGATTGGTGCAGTTTTGCTCTATCTGTCAATCACAAGCCAAATACGTCACTCGGACATTTCGCTCTTGCAGTAAAGAGAGGACATGATCACAGACTCTACAGATGACGTTGTAACTTTTGATTCCGCTCTCAAGGAAGCATTTCAACTTTCGGAAATTAGCATGTACTGCGCATTAAGATCGGAACGAGAAGCAACTTATACACTGGTATCTTGAAATGACCTGGGGGCCGTGTTGTCAACTGGCGTTGGGAAAAGCTTAATATTTGAGGTCTTGGTTTGCATTAAGGTATATGAAAACTATTGAAATGTGTGTCAGTCATTTCGTGTTTAAATTCATATGTCCATATTGCTTCCTTTGTGATTTCTAGATATAAACGAGTGTATCACCAAAACCCACCGTTGTCACAAAAGAGAAATTTGCAACAACACAGATGGCTCCTACTCGTGCGAATGCAAAAGGGAGTTTAACTGCAGTAAGTTTGAAAATGTTCCGTCTTTAAATTGGCGAAAGTCCTATCCATAATTGAGTTATTTTAAATAAATAAATAAATAAATATATAACTATGCCAGCGTAAAAAATGGTATGTCGCTCCTACCAATGAGATTGCAGCATTTCTCGTGTATCACAAACCAATCATATTGCTGCAGTATCGTAGATATTACCTACCCATCAGATTAATTTTTTATTTGTCACAAATCAATCGAATTGCCGCATTAGGTATATATCACGTACCAATCAAATCACAGCAGCGGGGTATGCTTGCACCAATCAGAATGCCGTTCCTAATGCCAATCTGGGCTGGAAATTAGGGTACCACGATACGTTGCGATTGAATCAACCCAACACTGACACACACCAAGAATGACATAAACAAGAATTGTGAGCTCATCTACCCAGTGTAATGGTTCGTGTCTTTCATGAAGACTTTTTTGCTGCAATCGCTCCGGATTAGTCAGGTCATCATGGAAATTTTTCAACCTTTTACAAGTACCCCTCATTTAATTACAACGTACACATTGTCAGCTGAAGGCCTAACACGAATTTATCACTAGCGCTTTTTATTTGGGTAGCACCACTTCTTGCGGCTCAGGTAAAACTTGTGCAAAGCATATGTATAAATTAAATCATATTTGATTATCTTTATTTTGCCTTGTGGTTGCTCTTTTTGCAAGGTTGAAAACACCACCAAGTTATATTTACCTTCTGTGTAGACTCAAAAACGTTGCAAAGGTGTTTTGCTATGTTTCATTCCTTACCTAACTTTTTGTGCAAGTTTACCTAACTAGTGCCCTTGTTACTTTTCAATGGGGTGAAAAAAAATCCGGACTGTGATTGTCACGCGCCTATAAGCTATCCCTGACGAGTACGACGAGGGAAGCAACTAAACATTTAGCTAACTACTAGTTTATCATCGCTTTTAGAAAATCCCTATTGCTAAAATAATAAAATTGCACTACAATCGAGATATCAATGCTAATTATGTCACTTTTTCATGTGTTACAAATTGTTTTCTTCTACTGCACTTTACCTTCCGTTACCTGGAAAAGTATTTTGGGAGTGGGAGGAGGGGCGAAGTAGGAGGGGAGGAAGAACTTAAAGAATTCTTGTTGGGTAAGTGACGCTGGCCTCTTAGAATTCTCACCGTATTATAGTCTATTTTGTGACCAACTATGGACCCCATCACTTTTGGTCATACTTGCAAAAATTTTAAACTGCGCATTTTCCAATTTTTTAATCTTTTTTCTTATTAAAGGAAAGCCAATAGCTGCTGTCAAACAAAAACAAAACAAAAAAAAATACATTGTTCCTTTGACGAGTAACATACGCACTTGCATCGTGCATAACCCCTTCCACGAGGAAAGAAAAGGTGTACAGCTGTTTACAAAAAGGTTGTCGGAAAAAGCGCAAGCCATGTTAAAGTATCCGTTTCTTTTCTTCTGAAAGTTCTTCATTTATTAATTATATATGTTTAAACGGTACTTTCCCACTACAATTTGGTGTTTACTTTTTACTCGCCACTATGGACTAGACTTCCTCAGATGAAATGCATTAACAACGTAAATTTTATGACAATCTTACCTCAATAAGAAAAAAAATTCGCCGGGAACGTTATGCTTCTGTTGGTAAATTTTCCACGCAATTCTCACGTGCTTAGACGTTTTTGTAGAAATAAATTTCGCTTTTCGTTTTGCTACCTTAGACTTCACCTTATCACGTGTCAATTCCTTTTAAGCAACTTGCATTTTATCATGTATTTCACACGCTCAGGGAAAAGGCCAGATAAGCAATAACCAAATAAGGAGCTTACTTTGTTACGCCTTGAAACATGATAGTTGTCTCCTCATTCAATCTATTTTCACTTGTTTGAAGAAGGGAAACCGAAAAATATCTTTGTTCAGTGGTTGTTAGAGATGAAATAGAGTTTTTGGTTTGCTTTCCTTAGCAAAATTACATTGAAAATACTTTTCGGGGCAACTAGCTGTAACTGAATAATTAAAACTGTCTCTGATGGAGAGGAACAGCAATAAGGATCGTGGTAGCCTACGAGCAGATCGTTGTTTAGTCTCGTCACGCAAGGTAGAGAGAGGGCATTACGTGACGAGACCAAATTAGGGCTGTGGAGGGGACTGCAGGAAGCGTGGTACCTATGCAATTTATTATTGCCGACAATGCCTATGTTTTATGCCGATGGGGAAATATAGGATCAAGTTTGTAAATTGCCCATACCGAGTTAAACTCATTGTACACGGTACAAGATAAGGATAAGTTACGTCCTAATAATCCTTATATTGTGAGCACGTCGACAATTAAACCGTAACCCTAATGTTCCTTTCATAGCATAAAACAAAATATCAATCAAACAGAAAAAAAAAAGAAATAAGCACGCAGTCAATTTTCAATCAACTACGCTACATAACTACCGTAGGGTTTCCATTTAGTACCCTCCTTAAAATAAGCGCCCCCTCTCTAAAAAGCGCCCCATCACATTAGACTTTTTTAATGAGCGCCCCTATTCTAATAAGCGCTCCCTTTGAATAGGCATTCGCGTTCCAATCAGCACCCCTACACAAATAAGCGCCCCTATTCTGAATTAGTAATAGCACAGCGGAGTACTTGTACATTGAGATCAACAATTGTTCAACTTCCTTTAATTGCTCACGTAAAGCCTCAAAACAAAATCAATGGTCTATGTGTCCGTCTTTCAACTGTTATTTCTAGTTCATTCATCGCGTGATGATTGCAGCTTAGCTGATCGTTCTAGCCAGGACCTATCCATGGAAAATAATCCCTCATTTTTCAGTACTTTTAATCCTTTTGAAATGAGTTGGTTTGTCTCGCGCATTTTACTGTTTCGCAAGATGAAAACAAGCGCCTTGTACCCATCCCCAGGTCTTACTGTCCCACCCTCATCAAAACAATTTTCAAAAGAAATAAAGTCAAGAATCAAAGGTAGAAAACGAGATAAATATTCGAAAAGTCTCGCCAAGAGTCAGGTCTGTGCGATGTTTTGTGCGGGTGGTATTTGAAAAAAGGTTTCGCTTAAATTTGTAAGGCTTTGTATAAAGATGCCATGTTGCTGTCCCTCCTATGAACACCAATATGGCGGCAGGAAGCTAAAAAAAACATATGTCATCGAGTTCTGCTGTACGAAACCTGTAGTCGTCTTCTGAGGGCTCATAAACATCTAAATGACTACAAAATCTCAACAGATAATTCAAGGTATCGATTCCTTACTTAGTGCCTAGGGTCAGTCCCCCCCCAGTCTATAAAGGAAGACCTAAAACCTATAACCCCAATTGGCCAGCTATCTAAAGTCATAAAAGGTTTCACAAGAGTCATTACTTAAGAGCGGCGGTCCGTAAATATCGCTCGGAGGTGTGCAATATTGAAAAAATCGAAAATCCCCAAACTTTGCCAGAATATAGGTCAGGATGAACTGTTTCTAGAAATAATACTTTGAGTTCAATTGCATTTTTACTTTTCGCGAACGGCAGCAAAATCGGTTTTGCGGCTCTCACGTCACCTTCAAGAGGTTTAGACATTATTTCAACATCGCTTGAAAATAGTCAAAACAGTAAATGTGACCAAATATTTTCCTAATGAAAATAACACGTATTTACAAACAGCTTGAAGTGTTCTTTGTTCGATTCCGTTACAATCAAAATTTTTGGGGAGTTTTTGGTTTTTTTCAATATCTCACCCATTTTGGCGGAAAAAAATGGCAAAATTGAGAGGGTAAAATCGCACCTTGGTACATGGGATGGGGTTATATCAAGTTGATCCAGCGAAAGAACAAGGTTTCTTCCTCAAGTAACTCCAATAAAATTTTTGGGCTACTCAAACTACGAAATTTCAGGACCCCAATCAAAAGTGACTCAGAGGTCAAAACGCAGCATTCCTTGTCACGCAATTGAAGGTGAAAAATCAACAATGCGCGCGTGGAAACGATAACAGACCGCTTTGAGAGCGAAATATCGTTACCGAACTGAATAAAACGTTGACTTTGATCAACATTTGTCGTTTCTGCTGCTCAG